CTTTGGGACAAAGGTTCAGGGCAGAATGTTTCACTGCCAACTCATGGGAAACAGCAGTCAGACCCAGAAAACTAGCTAACTGTTATTATCCTTGAAGTTATAATAAGGGGAACATTATGAGCAGAATCTGAGATCTGTGTGCTACCACACACTAGAACAATTCAGTGCTTTCATTCTGCTATGCTGAAAGTGGAAATTTGCTGTATTAGAGGTTGCTAACCAGATTGATACCTGCTTAATATTTCACATCTCACTTGTATTTTCTCAGTAATGTAGCCATTTGCCACTCTGGTCTTAACGATCCTTCAGCCTAAAAACAAATAGGCTATTTACTATGTTTTCAATCTATTTGTTTATTTTTATGCTGTAAGAATCCCTCTTAATCCTGTCACATTTACTCTCAAGCTTCCTTTGATTCGATGCCCACAGAACTATCAGGTGGAATAAAGGTCACCAACACTAATAAACTTCCCTGAAGCCAAACCACATGGTGTACCGGTGGACAGCTGTGTAATAGCACTGCCACTGAGACTAGTCTGGACTCCAGTGCCTCATTTCACACGATGAAATCAAGGAACCAGGGTAGCCCCTAAGTGAGGACACTGCAAATAAACCTTAAAGCCAAGCGTTAGGCAATATGATCCCACAAACACGGTTGTCTGTATACAGCCCAGACTCTTCATGTAAGAATTTACATTTACAATTAATGGCTTTTAACTCCTTTCATGCTGAAAATCCAAGACAAGCCATTAGTCTGTCAACTGGGCAGCTATTTGGCAAGCTATTAATAAACTACTATAGGAACATCACATGAGTCATGCCTCTCAACCTTTCTGGTCCCTGTTACATCTTGATTAATTTACAAAGTCTCCATGCTTCACCGTAAGCTCTAAAGTCAAATGGACACAGGGTTTTGGGGTATTTCTTGATATTCTGCAGCACCTTCCTTGGTAGAGTTTGGCCCAGAAGAAGAAAAACATGAATATAAATAACCACAGCTTTAACTGATACAACTCTCTCCTTTCACTTGTTTAGATCAATATTGTTATCAACTGGTGCCATCAACTGGTAAACGGAAAAAAACTGATAAAAGCTAAATATATTTGCTCTGCAAAATTCATATAAAGCATTCTGCAATAGCTCTTCATGGTTTTATTAACAAAGAAGAAAAGGCACCTTACACTACACATGTAAACTGCATATCTTGATGGACGTTTTGTTCTAGCACCACCTTTAACCTTAAATCACTTGTATCTTCCCGAGGGACCTCATGAGGGGTCCCACATGATGGCTGAGCCAAGCCTCCTGGCAGACTGCTCTGCTCTTCTCTGAGGTCATTCTTTTCTCCTAGTTTCATGAATTGAGCTGGTCCCCCAACAGGTTATGCAAATGAAAGAGCCTGGAGAAAGGATACAGTGGGACTGAAATGGTAATTCTTAGGTGACTCTGTTACTGCTAGGGGCATCTGCTAGACCAGCATGACACTGGAGCTTGTGCTCAATTTTTTATGTGTGAATCCAAGCAAGTGGACCCCTCTGATTACCAGTTTTCTAAGTTATGTTCTAGAGAGATACCAGAAAACATACATAGAGAAACAATGGCAGAGGCAAGAAAGATCAACTGAGGGAAAAAAAGGCAAAACAATCAAAGAAACGTAATTACATCTTATCATTTCCCATGCAGCTGCTTGTCTCCCCTTTGCCCTCCCTGCATTTGGGTTTACACACCTGATTCCTCCTGCCAATTCGATTTGGTGCAGGAGACTTTGAGGGAGATTTGACGTTTTGAGAGTTCCCGCCGTTTTCAGCAATCTTCCCCACGTTCATCACTGCTGACATCATGGCATCAATGGAGGACAAGTCTGCTCCGTCCAAACTGTTTGGTGAACTTGGGGATACCTTGTAGGTGTTTAAGCTTTCCAGCTGCTTCTCTGGAATTACAAACAAAAGCACACATTAGTTCTTAGGCCATCTTGAAAAAAAACCCTAACTCATAGTATTTTCAGCTGTCTGTAACTCCCATCACACTCTGCTGAATCATCATAGATCACAGGCAGCAGCCCATAATAACTGCAGTTCTTATAACAGGACAAGTTTCTCATATTGAAACACACAAGACAAGGGGTACATTTCTTCTCACAGGACATTCACATTACTTAATTTTCAACCTTAATTCTCTGTGGAGCTTATAGTGATTTACTTCACACTCTCTTGCTGTAAAATGGTATCATCTGTGGTACCTTGTGATCACCATGAACTAGTAGAGCAGTACTGATGAATGCACGCTCTGGCAAGCACAGTCATTCAAGCAAGCACGTGTTTTGAGCAGAACTGCACAATTAAGGCATCAGTAAGTGTTTAGTATAGTTTAAGCAGGCTCTGTATATGGAATAAGATAACTTAGCAAAAATCCAAACAAAACAAAACCCCATATGCCCCCAGTAGCCTCTTTACTGCCACAGCTAGCATCTATGTAATTTTTTTTTTCTCTTTTGGTCTACCAAGCCATACAAGTCATGGAGCATATGTGTTACATCCATGACTAATGTCACAGCTAAAGCTGTTGAGATTCAGACTAGTCCATCACATACTGTATGTAGCATGGATGCTCCTATCTCAGATACCAAATTCAAAACACACCTAAAATCTCATCTCTGCTTTCTCAAAGTACAGATGTGTCAAACACACAGGCAAGGCCTTTCACTTTGCTCTTTAAGAATTTGAAAAGGAAAATGCTTTCAAATTAAACACTCCTTTTCCTAAAAAGAAGTCTCCCAAACAACCAGGAACACCCTGCAAACCTACTGCTCTGTCACCTCTGGTGGAAAGCACAGAATTTTAATGTGTGTTGTGAGAAAGTCACTGTAACAGAAGAGTATGTGAAGGTGAACAAGGAGGAACACGTTTGTCTGTGAACATTTGATCTCTGCATAATACTGTCTTTGGAACATAAGTTTGAGGATTATAAACAGGTGGTTTTTCTGAGGCTAAGTTATGTGGTGCCAAGTTACTGGGAGCCAAGAAAATCTTAGTTTGGAAGCCTGCAGTGGTAGTCAAGTATTTATGCGCCCATGCTTCTGTTCAATCTATTTTATACTTTTCAGATAGATAAAAGTTAGGGATGGAGAAAGAAACATATGCACCAGTGCTTCTGCTCAATGTATCTTACACTCTTCACACAGGTAAGCTGTATGGATGTGTAAGAAATGTTTCCACATTCTTAATCAATGCCCTAATTTACAGAGTCACAGAGCTAGTAGAACCAGTTACCTTCATCTTTATCCCCTGACTGACTGTGGCTCTCTTCTTGGTTGCTGGTCTCCTCACTTAGTGTAGTACGTGTAGTAGCGTCTGGCTCTTCAGCCTCTTCTTCAGCAGCACCCTCTAGCACTATGTGAGGGAGAAGGGAAAAAAAGAAAAGGCATAAGTTTTTCTGGATACCATTTTAGCAAAATAACACTACAGCCCTCTAGTTTGAGGGCTCCCCTGACTGGTACATAGACCCAGTGACAGAAGCATGTAAACAGTTCCAGCACAGCCAAGCACCCACTCCAGGCATTGAGCTGGGAGATGCTGTTGCTTCTGCCAGTGGCAAAACCTGGGTAAACAAAGAAAGGAAACCCTTACCAGCTTTGTCCCCGGTATTCAGTCAGCAAAATAGGAGGAGGAGGAGAGAGTAAGCTAACATATAATTGACAGTAGTGACATTTGATTAAGAAGTTGGAAGAATAGTCTGCAGCTAGAGAATTTATGTAATTCAATTTCATATGTGCACTGCTCCCCTCTTCTCTTCTTGGGAGATTAACCTTTACTCCAATACATGAATTCACTGTGACCACCTACTTCCTTCTAGCAGTGGTGACGTGACTACTGAGGTTTCTGGGACCATTTTGCACATTCTTCACAGCCACTGCCCAAGGTTTCCACATGAGTTGAAGACATAAGCAACCATTGTATGCAACAAACGAATTCCTCCACATCCCTTTCTGAAACCACAAACTTATCATGCTATCGTTGGGGTTTCAGGAAGGATACTTGTTCTGTCTAGAGAATGACAGGGCAGTTAAACATCACTTTTAGAGGTGACGGGGGATGACCAACACATAAGAATCAGATGAGTTCTCTGCCCATGGCATTCATGGCTACAGCCTCTGGAAAAGGTTATTTGTAATATTGAAAACTGACACATTTTTAATGGAGAAATACACCTTTTTAACCTTACAAGCAAAATATTTATTTCATTATGAAAGGAAATACTCTGTGGACATTTCATCATCTGAGATTTACAAATCACATCCAGTAACCTTAATGCAAGTTTTCCTTTTATCAGAGAGCGGAGACAATTGCCTTCAAATCACGCTTAACTCAACAGGGTTTCTTCCTTTAAAAAAAAAGACATTCTCAAGGATGTCATGCAAATCAGTCACACAACACATCTTCAAATGCTGTTTGGATAGCATTTGAAAACAATAAATCACTACATTATCCCAACTACTAACATTTTAGAGCGCCCAAGAAGAGACAGACAAAAAGAAAGTGCCCACCTTGTGTCAAGTAGTTCCTCATTTCATACCATGCCAGACAAAGCAATGGATTTAACCTTCCCACATTTAGATGCCAACCTTCTTAGTAGCAGCACACAGATAATCTGACATAGGAAGCCAGTGGAGTCTAAAGACAAAACCTAGGACCTGACTAAGCCGAGCATTTAAGGTTCAGGATAACATCAACCTCTTAACAAACACTGCTTTCAATTTGCATCTTCAAAATAAGACAAAATATTATTCGGAACAACTCAAGGTGGCTTTTCCCTAATAATTCTTGAACTTTTCTGTTAAGGAAATACTAATGTCCCTCTGACACAGAGATTTCCTGCTCCAAGGTGAGGCCAAGCACCCATTCTTCTGTATTTTCTCCAGTAATTATGGGAGCCATTTATTTGTCTTTGTTTTGTTTGTCCTTAACTGTTGTAACTTTACTGTTATTTTTTCTGTTTTTTTTAAAAAAAGTCCATCTCATTCAAGAGCAATACAGTAATTCCTCCCCTCCCACACACTCCCCCAACTCCCCAACCCCCCCACCCCCCGTCTTTTTGTAACCACTTACGTGGTAGCTGACTTAACTTTGAATAGAATAAACATCAGAATTGTTTTTGAGACTGGCCTAAATCTAAAGTTGCTTGCTGTATCTGCTTAGCACCACCAAAAACAAGGATCAGTTTAAATAATCTGGAGACGTTTCTGTTAAAACAAATAAGTGCTTTAGTCCTCAAAAAAACCACAAACAAACAAAACAACTTTTCCTTCCAAAATACACATATTCATTCCTCTTTCAGTTAATACCTAGGACATTAATGTCACCACTGATACATCCTGGAAAAAAATCTGTTGTGTAACTGCGAAGATTCCCTTGTTTGCCAAGGTAGCTTTCAGATAGCTGAGCAGCTTCCCAGAGAACTAGAGTCAGAATTCCTGGTGTTGCTTTCACCAACACTGAAAATGGGAAATGCTCAGAGAGAGCCTGCAGAAGAGGAAGGCATACATTTACATTAAAAAAACCTATCTACTGGTTTAGAAAAACCTGCCAGCTTGCTCTTTGTTCCTTTTTCAGGAGGAAAACTATGGATTATACTACTACAGCATTTTATAATTTCTATGAACCAATGGTTATTTTTTTATTTCTGAATCTAAATATCTTCCTGCTAAGGCAAACCAACATATGAAGTCACAGATCTTGTTTTTAAAACTGTTTTCTGCACCTTAAAAAAATTTTGAAAGCAGTGTAAATATTGAAACTGAACTGTTGTTGCACATTTTTATTTACTTATGTATTTTCCACTCTCTTGGATGTGGCAAAAATGCACCACCGAAACAAAGATAACTGCATGAGCAGCACACACCAGTTTCAGAAGCATGACTTTCTATTTGCAATAGGATATAGAAACAATAAGAATACTGGGCCAAATCACTCCTTCCTGTGGGAAAACCCATGGCAGAGCGCCTTTAGGCAGGAACATACTGAGAGATTTTGCTTGTAGCCTTGTTTTTTTTTTGGATTGGGTTTCCCCCCCCCTTTAAAAAAATGCATCACTGAGGATGGGGAAGTGTTGTGGTTTTTTTCCACAGCATCTATGAAACTTGGAATCAGATAGGCAGCAACCAGCATGGATACCCTATGTCATACTGACTTTAGGATTGTAAACCTTCCCAGCTCACACCACATGTCCCTGCTTGGAGGTTGTGCTTGGAGCCTCCTTCCTCCCTCTCCCCAAAAGAAAACAAAGACCTCCAGGAAAAAGGACAAACAGGAAATAAGCTGGCAAACAGTACAGCCTCAGGTTGCATTCAACACTGGACCAAAGCCTCTAGGAAACAGGGAAGTGGTCACAGGCATTCAAGTCATCTTCTACTTTGAAGAAACCCCCCAGTGCCACATTCATCCTCTGTGAAAAGGAGGAAAAGAAGAGAGTGAGCAACTAAGCAAGAACGCTAACACATGGTAGGGGGGACAGGACCAAACAAAAAATGCAGCAGCCCTCTTTGCACAGCCACACCGAGAGACCGGTCTCTTCTGCAGGAACATGTTCTCTCCACTTGTTGATGTTGCTGAAAACACGAAACTGGGGCAACTTCTACTCCACAGTGAGACTTGAGGGGCCTTTAGTTCCCGCTCTGATGCCCACACAACCAGCTAATGGGAGAGTCACTGTGAAAGCAGAGCTTTAAAAAAAAAAAAAAGAAAAAGAAAAAACTTGTTGCTTCCCATTCAGTCTGTACAGGAAGACACTTGCTAGACCTATTTCCTCCTTTGGGATAAAGTGTGACTCCAATGTATGTTAAAGCTGAGCCCATCAACAGTTACTTCCCCCCCTTCGCTTATGTGTATTTATTTGTATTTGTTTGTTTGTTTATTTGAAGACCACTCCAAAGAGTTACAGCTGCTTCTCCTTCTGGTGAAGAGCATCACAGATGAAGTGGAAAGAACACAGGCTACAAGAGAAGGAAGAAAAAAGGAGAAGAAATGGTGAGTCTTCAGAGTCACAGTCACTTGATTTGCCATTGAGAGGCAGCTACACAAGCACGGAGCAGCATGTCCCGGCCCCTGGGAGCTGGTACAAGTCTCTGCTCCAGATTGCTCCACTGTCTTTGCACATGAGCTCTCCCTTTAGAATAGATAGGAAGAAATGCACAATACAGGCAAGAAGGGGAAAAACCTGGTACGTAACACAAAGCTGCTCATTGTTCTGCCTTTCGAAAAAAATCCACATTAACGTTAAAGTAGAAGCCATGCACTAATTGGGCCAGGGAAAGATTAACACTCTCGGCCAAATACTTTTATTGGTTTCACTAAACATGCCGTAGTACTCTTTCAGAACACAGTGGGGGAGGAGAAACAGGGAAAAGAAATGACAGGTTTAGGAATGCACACCCCCACACACATGCATTTCAAACCACTTTTTCCCATGAGGCCCAAACAGGAATCCTGAGCCTTCTTCATCATTTCCATCTTTGCAACACTATTAGGTTAGTCAAGGCTTTCCCACTGTTTTTTTTTTTTCTAAGTGGCAGGAAAAAACCCAAGGATCGTTTAAATGAAGGCCAGACCTGCTAGTATACAAATTTAGACGAGAACAGAACTTCAAAGAGGTATATCACATTTGAATAAACAAAGTTTACCATTTACCGTTTACCCTTGAGATTATAATACCTAAGAATCACTACACCACACTACAAACTGTTTCTGATGCACTGGTCTCCTGCTAAGCTTCTACACAGAAGAGCAAATTTTGCTCCCAGAGCACATGGCAACAATCCCAAGCACAAATGGTTGCTCCCACCCCAAAAGAGATGTGCACTATCACCCGCACTACTTTTTGAACACGATTTTGCATCAAAGCTGGCAGGAAGGAAAGAGGGTGAAAAGCCATTGTCTGGGAAGAAAAAAAAAGTTAACGCTATTCAAGGCACTGCCTCAAGGCAAAGGAAAACCAAACTCTGCCTTTGCTACTGAAGTATTGGTGCTGACTGGGCATCCCATCGGTAGAGAATTTACTGGGAGCATCACCTCACTGTGACCACTGCTGGAGCGCCAGTACAGAGCAGCCTAGAGGGAAAGGAACACAAGCAGAGAAACACAGTGGCATGGAAGTATCTAGTGGCTGCTCTTTCATTTACCATCAGCTAAAAAACTAAGAATGTTACCCCAAAGGTTTTAAACTTGTACCGTAAGTAACATTTTCCTCTAGGGTAAAACAAAACCAATCAAAAAAAACCCTAAAAGACAACAATCAAAAGGAGTAACATCTCTTGAAGGGTACTCTCTGAGTACCAAAAGATGGACTGGTCCTCTTTCTACGAACTATCTGACTATTAGCGATACAATTGTTTTACGTGTGTTAGTGCATGCTCCTAAAATAAGCCCATGAGTCTACAACATCCATTATGCCTTTTCTTACCTAACTTGTATACAGACAGATACACCCAGACATGGAATAAACATAGCCATGCCTTAAAACTGAGCTAGGGACCACCTTCTGGTGTGGGAACGAGGCAGAGGAAGAAGCACCAAACAAGAACAAGATGACCCCCCCATATTCCAGATTATTTTGCATGCTCCTGTGACAAGACCTAACCGTTAGGTTAAATTTTAAATACTCAAACATATTTACTCCTCCTGTTTTATCTTCTTGCAAGCATGATGTGATACACATGTGCATTTACTTTTTATGTAGCTTTTGAAAGTCATTTTCTGGTGACTTATGGACCAGTAGTGCTCCTCAGGATTTTGGCTCAGATGACCAAAACCTTCTCTCCATCAAGCACATCAGAATTTTAACTTAGCTAATGCCTGAAGTGAATGACAACTTTGAATCACTAGGATACTCTGGTATTACATTGATGCAATGCACTGAAAACAAGGCAGCTGTACTAATATAGCAGTGAGACACTGCACGGCAAAACAGGGATGAAATTTGCCCATGCAGTCCAACTAGTTCACGGCAATGCACAGAGGTACAACACAGCCTTAATATAAAACGCATTCATGCCTATCTTCTCGGCCCTGCACTCCATTTGCTAACTTGAACAGGGAACCCACATCTGCCCCTTTTGCAAGCGCTGAGTGCTGTGGGAACAGCCCACATGTGGGAGCTTGTGGTCTTGCTAGCCTAGAAAAGAGAACCAAGGCACAAGCTGCTTGGCACCGAGACCGAAAGTAAAACCCGATGGACCCCTGGCTCCCAACAGGAAAGCACGGCACATTTGGTAAGCGCTTCAGAGGGTTTGATCCAAGTCTGCACTAAGTTCCTGACCAGCACTGCCATTTTCAGGGATGGTAGCACCACACAAAATGCACAGCAATAACTGCAATAACCTGTGGCCGTATTTAGGATCAACAGCTGCTGATGAATTTTGAGACTTTTCTAACACCTTAGCACTCCTTCCCCCTGACCAAAGACATATCTATGAGCTGTTCCTCATCTTCACTATCCATATCAGCTTGTTGGTGAGCACCTGGCCCTCCAGAAGTCTTTGTCACCACACTGCAGTCACCTTCAAGAGTTTGTTCAAGCAAAAAGGATACTGAAATTTGAAGACAGCTTAACAAACCTGGGAGCACAAGCACCACTTTTAGGCACAAAAATAAAGTCAGGGTAACATCAGAGTAAAACAAGTGGCTGTCAGCAGACATCCCTCCACTCCTTCCCACATAGACAACTGCAAACACCACTCCATTCTCATCCCTGCCTGCCTGCACAGTTGTCAGGATGCCAGTGGGAAGGGAGCCTGGCTTCCCTCAGTCATTGGGAACCACAGCGATGCAGGGGGAACACGGAACAAGGCACGCCTTGGGCTTTACCCAGCCCATCCCCTCCCCTGCGCCCTCCCCACTTGCTGAGGAGGGACACAAAAGCAATACTGTCTGTCCTTATAAGCTCTGCTTTGCATGTGTTCGGGGAGTGGGGACAGCTGTGCGGACGGCTCGCAGAGTTCCAGGAAGTCGATGTGTTTCTTGGCTTTAACTCCAGTTTATTTGCCTTAGATGAAGTGGCGACCCGAGAAAGTCCCTTCAAGTCTCTCCTGGGCTGGCACTGGCTGCAGCAGGGCAGCACTCCTTGGGAAACGGCCCAGGGTCTCTCTCCCCACATCAATTAGCCTTCCCCACTCCAGTTA